GAAAATTACATAAAACACCCGCAAGCTTTTCATTTGTTGCATGAAAATGGAAGTTGGAGCAATAATACATAAAGCTCCATGTTGACCGTTTGAGCATAAAGGATAGGTGTAAAATTACATTTTTGACCTTATAAGTAAGTCATTTGTTTATGATGAAAAAATTAGAAAAGATTGTGTAGTTTTAATTTACATTTTTGCACCTCAAAAGTTCTGGTTGGGACTTCTTTTCCTTCTTCGCTCTTGTGTGTTTATATACTTCTGGCCTAAACTTTAAACTCTATTGATTAATTAAGTTAAGCAAGGCAGGAGAGTAAACTAAGCTTATAAATTAATATAAACAAATTTCTTACAAAACATCAAAATCAGCTATCACTCCTCATTTTTCTGTCCCTTTCTTATTTGAGTTCAAGTAAAGAGTTACTTATGTGGGGTTATTCTTGTCAAATACACACACACACACACACACAAGAGGTAAGAAAGAAAAGAAGTCCCAATGTCTTATATCCACATATATTATTTCATTATTATTATTTTTAAAATTTGGTTGATTAACCGTGAATGAAAGAATATTATTTTCATCGAAATTATATATGTTGTTTTTTTTTTTGTTAAAAAAAATTATATATGTTGTTGTTGTTGTTGTTGTTTTTTTTTTTTTTTTTTTTTTTTTTTTTTTTTTTTTTTTTTAAAGAAGTTAAGGAAGAATATAACAAGAAAAATTTTATTTATTTATTTATTATTTTTTTTGCTAATCTTATTTTTCCCTATCAATTAAATATGTTTTCATATTCTGGCCAAAAAAAAAAAAAAATTCTTGTTATATACTCTTCCTTAACTTTTTATCTTTTAAAAAAATAAAAATAAAAATTTCATGTGGTGCTAATTAGGTAGTAAATTCATTTAGGATTTGAAGATGTGTTTAATTGATAGAGAAAAACATAATTCTCCATTAGAATACTATAAATTAAGGACCTTGAAAAAACTTAGGATTTGCAATGATATTATACATATTTTGGCATGTTTTTACAGGATCAATACTTTGAACATTTAATTTACCCAAAAAAAACAAAAAAACACTTAGAACATTTAGATGGATATATAATAATATATTAAGAGTTGTTGTGCAGGATCTTTCTAAAAAATTTATGAAACCAATAGTAGTCTCCTAATTCTAAATTAGTTGGTGAACAAATTCAAAATATTTTATTAAGCTGAGTATAAAATATGGATCAATCTTGAAATTTGAGTTTTGATTATAATCAATACTTCTCAAGCAATCTTTAATTAATGGCCATTTTATATATCTCTTTTGATTAATTTTAGGGTAAAGTGCATTAAACTCCCCTGAACTATTGGGGTATGTACAAGAAACCCCCCCGAACTATAAAAATTACAAAAAAACCCCCCTGAACTATTGGGGTATGTGCAAGACCCCCCTGAACTATAAAAGTTGCAAAAAAAAACCCCTGAACTATTGGAGTATGTGCAAGAAACCCCCCTGAACTATATATTTTTTTGCAGTTTACCCTATCTGCGCGAATTGATTGACTGAAAGGGACGATGAAGCCGAGGAATTTGTGGCTGGGATCGGAGTGGTAGATATCGTCTGAGGAATGTTTGGATAAGCCAAGGAATCTGTTGCTGGGATCGGTGGGCCTTCTGTCATAGCTCCATCATAGCCGTTGTACTACCCGCCAGATCCGTCGGCCATATATATCGCACTTCTCTGCACCGTTGCGTCAACCCAACGCCATCACTGTTTGTCGCCGGTCCATTCCATTGTCTATTCCATTGTCCATTCCAAGCTCGCCGGCCCATTCTACCATCTCCATAGCTAAGCATACCGCCGTCTATGTTTTGAGTACACAGTCGTCCACAGTTCACCGCCGAGCCCCCTTGAGCTCGCCGCTGCCTCCACAGTTCACGACCGAGTCAACTGAGCTCTCATCACAGTCGAGTCCTCTGTACACAAGCCGCCATCATCTGAGACCGAGCCATCCCACCGGCCTCGGATTTCTTTAGTCTCTTCTCTCTCTCTCTCTAGTTCTCTGTTTTGGGTTGGGTTGGGTGAAAAACATCTTTTGGCAGAAAAAAATGTAAGAAGTGTATAAGTTAAAATGACGCAGTGTTTTATAAGGGTAAACTAGTCTTTCAAATTTTCGGTGCTGGAAGCTGATGTTATGGGGGTAAATTGCAACAAAATCATAGTTCTAGGGTTTTTTTTTGTAGTTCAGGGGGGTTTCTTGCAAATGACCAATAGTTCAATGGGGTAAATTGCAACAAAATCATAGTTCAGGGTTTTTTTTTGTAGTTCAGGGGGGTTTCTTGCAAATGATCAATAGTTCAAAGGGGTTTAATGCACTTTACCCTTAATTTTATTTGATTTCCGTTGCTGCTTGTAAATTTATTGGGGAAGGGTTTTTTTACTGGACACAGAAACCTAGACAAAAAAGTAGCCAAATTATTTTAATAAATTGTCTAGTTCTGTCATTTTTTTTTAACGATATTTAATGGTATGGAAAGAAAATGTAAGTTTCTTAAAATAAATAAAAGAAAAGTTAATTAACTAATTGCTGTAGGATCTAATCCTACGGTTACAAGTAAAAATGAGCATATAATTTTTTACTTTCAGGGAGCAATTGAACACTACTGATATATATATATATATATAATTTTATTGCCGTATCCTTACCGTGTCCGTGTTTTTTTTTTTAAATTTGCCGTATCACCGTATTCGTGTCGTATCGCACCCATGTTTCATATCCGTGTTCGTTCTTCATAGTTCCCAAAGAAAGAAAGAAAAAAATAAAGTGTGGTATTCACAATGCACTTTTACATTTTCCTCTCTCTGCTGTAGGTATGGTCTTCACTAATACTTTTAACTTCTAATACGGTATAAAAATGCTAAGTTAACTTGTTGAGGATATTATTGATACTAGTATCAAATAACACTCTAAAAGTATCAATAATATCCTCAACAAGTACAAAAGAAAAGGCAAATGTTTGGTATAAAATGCTGGAGAGGGGTTATTGAAAATTAGGCCCAAGATTGATTTAGTCATTACTCCGGACTATATTAAGTAGTCGAATGTTCCAATCCCAGGCTTCAGCCCAAATAATTTTGATTCTGAGAATAACTTTTAATCCAGTCCAAATTCCGTGACAATTATCAAAGATTCATATATATGCATCATGTTCTGGGCTTTGAAAGTATTATATTGGCCTATCATTGGGCGAGTGCAGTGCAGGGAGCTGCACAAGGAAGCGATGGTGGGAAGGCGAGCATACCGCATGGAGGCAGACTTTGGAAGGGAGTGGACGCAGTAGTGAAGCGCCGCACTGCGACGAGGACGTCGCAGGATTTGGGTGGGGGAGAATGTCACGAAGTGATTCCTAAGACGCTTGGAGGATGGAAGACACGTATGCTGGTTGGCAAAGAGCAGAGTTTGACTGGGAATGGTTCCAGGGAATGGGCGTGCAGGAACACAGGATGGTACCTCTTCAGAGTTCAGGCAGGTCGACTCGGTTCAGTTCGAGGTGCTTGTCGCTGGTCGTGGACTTGACTATGAAGAAGGGAGTTGGCCATCCCTGCACAAACTGGTCGGGAGCTGGAGCCGTTCCCCTGACGAGGCCATGGCAGGCTGAAACCAGTCAGCATGTATCCTTGAGAGGGCAGGTCGTGGTGGCTGACCAGGGCGCTTGCGCGAGCTGAAGCAACGCCTTGGTGCCGCACGGGCCGTGCCGCTGCGCCAAATCTCTAGGCCCGTGACAGCAGGCACTAAATGAATGAAATGCATTGTCAATCCATATTGGCAATCTGAGCAAGGACCAACTTCAAAGACAGATCAAGATCAAGATTGGGCTCCATGTTGTTGCCGAAGTAGGAGAGAATCAACCGAGTTGCAAAAACACTCACCGTTGCCCTCGCCGAACAACCATTGCCGCTGCCGCCGTTAAGCCCAACGCGTGGAACTTTCACATGACTTGTGTACTCCGGCGTTGGGTAAGCTCACCGAACTGGTCTCTCTTTGCCGGTCCATTTTCGGCAGTTCTGTCTTCCAAACAACCCAACTTAGTATACATGGAGTGCAGTATTCACAGTCAAATCATCAACCAAGTTGCACACAATAATTAAATTCCAAAATTTAAAAAGTTTAAATCAACACTTGCTCTTAACAAATTTATTACACACACCGAGTCTGGTTCGACTCTTTCCATTCTCATTCTCTTAAAAATCTGAAATCCCTCGTATGGATCACTAGTTCGACATGCCTCGAAAATCAAAGAATTCTCCTCAATTAATCAGCTTTCGGTATATACATCTCTGCTAATGCACTACCCAATATATCATATGAATCAAATCCCAATTTCATAATATGCCCATGAATTATTTTCCTAATTTCAACATATGAGAGCGGAGAACATGACCTTAACACAAAAGGGTATGTATATTCATCTGGGTACATTGATTTCAAGAACATTTCTTGGTATACCAAAAGGGTTTTCTCGAATTCACCAAACTTTAATAGATTTATGAGATTGTGTTGCAGAGGGGTGTGTTTGGATTGGCGGTAGAGTTGAAGAGGGTATTTAAGTACATTTAAACTTATTTGTTCAAGGTTATTTAAGTTAATTATATTTGTCAATTTTTTTTTATCAAAGGGTAATAAAGTCAATTCATAATTGTTAGGTGTTTTTATCCATTTTATCAAACTTGAGGAAATGTGATTGTACAGAATTACGACAACTTCCATCTCTTTGTCCTTAGGCCAAAACTCAGTGCATTAGTATACTTTGCCTTTATATTTTTTGCTTTTTTCTTGATAAAAATAATATTTTCTTATAACCTATTAAAATTACCAAACTAATTATTTCTAACACAAAATTTTTTATTATTTTTTTCCCCAAGTGGCAATGCTGATTTTTATTTTTTGCTTTCTTCCAGAAAAAAATCACAATATTTATACAGTATTTGTTATGAAACGAAACACTATAATCCGAGCGTGCAGACATTGACCTGTTTTAAAATCCCGTCTAACGGTAAGAATCCCAGACCTCCCTGTGGTTTTACCCTTCCGCACTCCCAGAAACCAAGAACAAAAATAATAAAAAAAGAATAATCGGCTAAGGTGATAACTACTTACTAGGAGTTGTTAATTGATCGATCCGTGGCCTTCTGGTGCTATTCTTTGTAGCGATTCCATTCGATTCACAGCCCCAATTTTAGGATTAGGGTTATATTGTATGCTTATACACACACACAGTACAAGAACATGGATAGACACAAAGGAGACCGCTACGGCGATTATTCGGACTCTCATCGCAACACGCACTTTGCGACGTCATCTCGTTCCGTGGACGAACCTGTTTCTCGCCATGACCGGAACTACGACAACAACTACGGCGGTAGTTTCTCCGGCGATGTTCACCGCCGCCACAACCACCACAGCAATTCCAGTGGCGAACAAAATGACTCAATTGGTTGTGGCGGAGATGGTGACTTTGGTTCACGTCAATTTTCTCTTTCCGGACGCAAGAGGCATTTTTCCCCAGGTGCGCTATGGCATCCTTCTCCTCATCCTCCTTTTTTGGATATGGTATCCTTCTCCTCATCCTCCTTTTTGATACTTCATCTCCTTGTCATCTCTAATTCTTCTTCTCTAATTATCTTTCTTCCTCGTTATCATATTTTTTCTTCTTCTAATTCTTCATTTGGCCTCTCTGTGTACATATATATATATATATATATTTTTTTTTGTTAAAAAATAAACCAAGTACCATCTTTTCAAGCTTTTAAAACAGTTGACATGTTATTAGAGGAAGACAAATTTTGGAGTATAATATTATCGTTGGAGTATAATATTATCGAGTACATGCGACTACGTGGACCATTCTGGAGAATTGAAATAGCACGTCCTTAGGGGACATGCCGATTATATAAGTAACATCATCATACTTGACATGTTACAGCTTTTAAAGCATAGTCAATGATTAACATTAGAGTGAACATTACAGTCTTAGATATACGTTATTGGCCAATTAATATGAATATCTTAAATTTACCGATACATAGTAGATGTTTTACATTCAATTTAGTTAATAATGACCAGAACTCACAGCCTTAAAGATATAATCCTTTAATTGTATCTCTTATCTTTTGTTATTTTGGTTTTGAGTTGCTTGGTATTCCCATGTAGAATTCATTGTACTTTTGTTATTTCATCCCCATGACATGTTTTCATTTAAAATAATCAAGATTACTGAAATTACAGTTTTCTTAGATTATGTTGATGGTGTCAGCTACGTGAAACTCTTTGTTGGAGCCGTTCCAAGAACAACAAGGGAAGAAAATGTAAGTTGTTTGTACAGTTGAGCCATCAACATTTCCATTATTATAAGTAAAAGTTCCAGTCCATCAATTATTTATTTTTCACTTTTCTTCTCACCGGCCCTCAGTTGGAAAATACATGCTTAAACATATCATCTTTTGCAATCATCAGTTATTACTTGTGTAAGCTGTTTATTTATTTATATATTTGTTTTCCCAGTAATTTATATCATTGCTTTTAATGTCTTTTTTACATGAATATATTTGCTTGCATGCACTTTTACATGTATCTCCCTTGTTTCGCCTGGGGGTGGGGGATTGGGGGAGCAACTTGGAGTTCCCAAAACATATGTATGATTTAGTCACTGAACAATACTTTCCTCCTTACTATTGAGGAGGAATTTTTTCCTTACAAATGATGTGTCACAATATTATTGGACCACGTGTCCTTGTATAACATTAAAAAGGGACGACAAATTACCTATTTTTTCGGTGGATCTAACTGATACCAAATCTACTAATATGGTCCAATAATAGCCAGACATGTTACTTGTAAGGTTCTTCTTCACACATAAGGAGCCTGGTATTTTTCTTAATCAGGGGATGCATTGAACATGATGAAATAAAATATTTTTCCAACTAACAATGCTGGTAGACAACAAACGAAAAAAATCATTGACATCTAGTATTAGTTAGCTTTAGAAAACTCACTCATGTACGCTAAGTTGTTTTAAATTTTAAGTTATTATGTAGATGAATAGATGGTAACTTTTGTAGTTGTTTTTTGTTTTGTTTTGTTTTTTTCCCTAATCAACTTTTGTAGTTGTTGAACATCTAAAATCTCTGTATTGGATTTTTGACAATCACAATTTGCAGTCAGTCATTTACTTTTTGACACTGATGGTATTTGTACTGTCTTTTTGCTTGTCAAAACTTCTATTGCCTCATATCAGTATTAGTAATTGATCCTTTCATGTTAGATTCGCTCCTTGTTTGGAGAATATGGAAATATTTTCGAAGTTGTCCTACTCAAGGATAAGAGAACTGGCCAACAACAAGGTATGTTAAAATGCAATCTTTCGCTAATTGATTGTGATGAGTACTAGTTTCTTTTATGCACAATCAGTTATCATATGATTGGCATTTTTTGATTTGTTTTTTAATCTATGATCATCCAAAAGGGCAGGTTCTAGTGGATTTGGGTAAGGTTAGAAACTGCTCAGATGAAAGACATCTCAAACCGAAACCCTTATGGCAAAAATGAAACTATGATCACAGTCATTTCAGTCGGCAATTCAACAAAGGAAGGTCCAATAGAAAGAAATAGGAATGCAAACAACCCCTCCCCATCTTTCAGGAAAAAGGAAAAGAACTTTATTCCGCCTAACAGTTAGAACTCAAAGCCAAGGAAAGGTGAACATAAAAAAGAACAAAACATTGCACTGTTTCCTATCACCTTATCATTGATCTCCTTTGTTTGGGTTAATAAGTGAATCCTTCTTAGAGTTAACAGCGGAACTCTGAAGAGATCCGCCAACCTGAATTGATGCATGTAGGCAGAGAAAATTAAGAAAATGGAGTGGGAGGGAGGAAGAGAAGAGTGGGGAAAGAGGTTAGTTCACCCCCGTCCCCCCCCCAAATTTTTTGACAATTATTCAAGTGAATTTACACAAATCGTTATGTTTTAGGTGGTTATGAATTATGATGCCCATCTCCTCACACAAACTTTCAGGGTTCAGGTCATTGACTATATATTTATGAAATATCTGTGAAATTATCTTACTCTGGTCCATACATAGATTGTGTGCGACTGCTGAGGTATCTAAGGATACAACCCAGTGAGTTCTGATTTCCAATTCGCTGTGATCCGCTTATAATAGATTTTGTTTGAAGTAACTTGGTTACAAGCTGCATGTCTTAATAAGTTGAACCTTCTTGTTTTTTGGTGGACTTGGTTGGTGGGTCTAGATCAAACTTTCTATCCCTTTGTTTATCCATGTGAAATCTACATAATTCTAGTTCTTATGTACATGAATTTAGGTTTATGGATCTTTACTTGTTACTCTGTTGTCAATTATTAGAATTCTGCTTCTTAAAATTGAATGATATATGTCCACTATCTCCCCTTTTTAAGAAAATCAGAAGAAAAGGAAAAAGACAAAAAAGGAAAAAGCACAAAAGGGGGCATTTTTCAAATTTGGCCCTTTTCTGAATTTCTATGTGCTTTAATCTTATTTGAAGCTTTAGCTATGTTGTTGTGGGTTATTTGATAGAGTTCTTTGTTGACTGAACACCATGTATGCATTTTTACATATATTTTATTTTCCCTCTTTCAAGAAACTCACGCACCCACTTACCCCGTTGGGGACTTGAATCATCACCTCTCACTTTGGAAGGTAGAGGAGATACCACTAGGTTACATGGCCTTTGATGGTCATGTTGCGAATTTGTAAACACTGTATTCTTCACATAATTCAAAGTCTACTTTTAACTTTCTATTATTAGTTGTTAAATTTGTAAGATGTGATGAATTGCTTGTGATATGGACATCACATTGAGCACTTACATGAGAAATGATCTTTTCAGGTGATCTTTTCTTTTGCCCTCCAGCTGACTTCTTTTCACCATTTCTATTCACACTTGTATATTTTACTGTGCTTATGAGCAAAATATATAGTATGACTACCAATTGTTTGCTATCAACTGTTTGTGAAACAATTGTCTGATGGAATTAGCATGTAAAATGTCTACTCCTACAGAATGTTGTTTTGTAAAATATACAACTGTAGAGGAAGCGGACCGAGCTATTGGAGCATTGCACAATCAATATACTTTTCCTGGGGTAAGTTCTCTCTTTGGGGGAACTGATGAAGAGGGTTCTAACTTTTGTTCTACTGATTATTTAATCAGAATTTCATCATTTGAAGTATCTATTTCTTTCCAGGGAGTGGTCCCTATCAGAGTTAGATATGCTGAGGGAGAACGGGAACGCCTTGGTAATTGTCCCATGCTTAAAAAATGTATTGTTTTTTTGAAAATTTTGTCCCAATTCTGTAACTATGCATATCATTAATATTTTAAGCATGCACTGAGCCTCTTTGGCCCAAGGTTTGAAGACAAATTGAAAGACATTGTTACAATTCATGTACATCTGGTTACATTTTCATCCTCAATTGCACAGGCATGTTTTGTCGACGTTGGTCACAATTCACGTACATCTGGGTTACATTTGCATCCTCAATCACACAGTCATGTTTTGTCCATTTTTTTTTACCTTGGCAAGAAATTGACTCACTCCCCCAATTTGCCCCTAAGGGGACTTGAGCCCTCGACCTTCCACTTTGAAAGGTGAGGAAGTACCGCTAGGTTATGGTCCTTGGTGGTCATGTTTTGTCTATTTGCCTTTTCATTTCTTTTGGTTATATGTAGGAGTATTTGACACAGATATACATTGCTCAAAACTGCAAAATGATGCCTTTCTAATGTCTTAATATAATAAATGGTGAGATTTGTGGCAGCTTTAAGGAAAAGTGAAAGGATAAAAGAACTAAGGGGTGTTTGGAAGACCTTTGTAACTGAATAGGTTTATTTTTGTTTAAAATGCATTTGAAGGTATGAATTGGTAGTGTCTTTTGAGACAACCATAATTGCCATAGTGAAACAAAAACGAGGTCATTCATGGTTGTTATAAGATGCTCTTATTTTACACACCAAAAAGAAAAAAAAAATATTTTAGTTTAATTGAGAAAGTGAAGAATCATTTGACAGTTGGTCACCAAATCACCATAATAGCATAGGCGAAGCTGTGGTGACACGTGGAGTAGGCAGCAAGCAGAGCTTGAACAGAAAGCAGCAAGCTGAGCACCTACAAAAAAATTGCTTTTATTATAATTGAGAAAGTGAGGAATCATTTCACAATTGGCGACCAAATCACCATAATAAAATAATGGTTGGATTATTGTTGGTGAGGGATCTTAATATCCCATATAAAAATGAGGAAAATGATCATCTTACAACTTTGATGTTGGTTATAGGTATATAAAGAGATACAACACAATAATGGTGGCTCTCTGATGCTGGTGGCAAGCATTCTTTTATTTTTAATTTTTTCTAATCTGTTTTATATTAGTTCTGTTCTTCCACTTTCGATGTATTTGGAAGTCTCCTTATATTTGGGTTGCATGCTTTAAAGGAAAAGTTATTACCTGCATGTGCTGGCTTGTTCCATCATGATGTTTTTGGCATTTTAGTTTTACTCTTCCTCACCCTGCCTGTTCTGATGTCTTCTTTTTTTGGTAGGGGCTTCTGGAACACATGTTTTCAAATTGTACGTTGGTTCCCTGAATAAGCAAGCTACAAAAAGGGAAATTGAAGAAGTATGTTGCATGTTATTACTTCCTAAATTTACCCTAGCCCATTTAAATGAAAAAAAAAAAAAAATTAGAATTCCTTCTTTCCTTGCAGCATATGTGCACTGTGTATGGGTAGCATATATATGAGATGTTGGCAGTAATTCATGCTGCTTATGTGGCGCACATGTGTAGTTACATTTGGGGTGCACCTCTCTGTCTGCGGGGAATAAGTAACACGCAAGCCTCCTTTGGAATGGGATGAATGAATAGTAGAGATTTTTGTTCCATTCATAACTTGTACTGCAGCAAATCACTGTAGCAAATTGCCATGACTAACAGCAATCTGAGAACAAAAATTCTACCAATGTGGTGGAAATTTAAATTGGTTATGCTTTTGATGGACGCCAATGCGTATTATTAAACTTGGCATGGACATCAGGGGTTACTGTCCAACTATTAGTTCAACTGTTCGCACCATGGCATTAAAAAAGTATTATTTAAAATAAAAAAAAATAAATACATGTTCAAAGAATGGAGTTGGAAGGAGTTAGTTTGTGGATTATTATATATATCTATGTATATTAGGGAAAATGCATATGTATACTTTGGGATATTATTTTTTATATTTTCAGACATGTATAGTTAAGTCTTCGGTTAACTGGTGCTCTGGTCTGATAGGCAGTGCCCGGCCTGGTTACTTAACTGTGATCAATTCTTTTAGTACTATAGATTTTGAGGTAACCTAGTGCATGAGACTTTTGGCATTGCGGGGTCTGGGGAGGGGCAGATATACGCAGCCTTATGGAGGCATGCAGAGAGTGTGTTTACTTATTACAAACTTGTGACTTCTGGGTCACAATGGAGCAACCTTTCTGCCAAGTCCTGCCCTTGGAGAGGCCTCATACGTTCTGCATGCTATAATTAACATTAGGCTGAAATGAACCAATTGTTAATGAACAGCATGTTCATTACACGAGCCGAGCCCAAACATGTCCGATTTTCAGTGGTTTGGCCTCGTGAAGATAAGGTCCACAATGGCTAAGATATAGTTTTCTCACACTCTTCGGACTTCTTTTAATTTCATGGTTCGATTGATTTGAATATAATAACATATAATAACTGAAGGTCAAAGTGAAGATGGCCTTGCTAAAAAGTGACAATATTTACATGACACGTTGCATCATGTTACCTTCCATCCTTTTCTATTTGAGCTGTTTAACTTTCAAAACTTATCAGCTAGAGAAAGGGAAAAAAAGAGTACATATTGAAGGGAATCTTTCTCCCAGCTGACCTTGGATTAGCCAGCCATGTAACAGCTTGACAAGCTTGAAAAGTGGTCCTCTAGGCTTGGGCAATCTTGAGTTGAGTCTAAATGCCTTACGTTATAACCTAGCTGAGCTTGAAAAGCTTGTTTCTTGAGTCAACTCGGTTCATTCGCTGTTCTAAATGTGACTCATTTATAGTCCCTTGTCCAAGACTTACCCATTCATTTAAAATGTTAATTTTCCTTGCCAGTTCTTGTTATTTAAATGACCATGACTGAATATCCCGTTTTATCATTTCTTTATATATTCTGTCTTTTTTGTTTTTACAAGGTTTTCAGTTTTATATGATTGTTTTCACTGTCAGATATTTTCTGCTTATGGTCTTGTCGAAGAAGTTTACTTTGTGCGTGACGAACAGAAGCAGAATCGTGGTTTGTCCATTGCTCTTATAGCTCAATATTGTTTTCATCAAGTTTTGATGCATTTCAGCTTGCCCCTGTTCTTGGTTGTTTTGGGTTCCTGATTCACTCTTTATAATTGATCTTGTGTTTTCTTTAGTCTGTAGTCTGTATGCATTGAATGCTTGAAGTTTTGTTTTCTCATAGAATATTACTTTAGAATAACTGGTGAGTTTATCCAGTTGTTTATCAGGAAAAGTCTCTGTCACTCTCTTATAAAGGAGAGCTTGTGCGGTTATCGCTTTTTGTTGCTCACAGTATTATCTGTGTTCTTTGTTAATCGGTTGTTAAAGATTTCACTGCATTATACTGTAAATTTATGTTTTCGTATTTTGTATATTCATGCCACTTTCAAGGATGCGGGTTTGTTCAATTTTCTCATAGGGATATGGCAGTTGCTGCAATCAATGCGCTAAATGGAACCTACGTCATGAGAGTAAACCTTTATGTTTGATGTTTATTGATTTTCTGATTTACTTTTTAAGGATTTTCATTTATTTGTAAATCTTTCTTGTTATTTAGGGTTGTGATCAGCCATTAATTGTTCGTTTTGCTGATCCAAAGAAGCCAAGGACTGGAGAATTAAGGTATTTTTCCCCTCAGAAACTTTTTATTTTTTTATTTGGTTAATAATTGCTTTAACTCTGAGCAAATTGTGTAATTAAGTAAGAATGTAAGACGTGTTGCTCTCTCTCTCTCTCTCTCTCTCTCTCTCTCTCTCTGGTTATAGATGAGATCTGTTGCTTTTGAGATGTGCAGCGACCCACCATTCACTTGGTTTTATTCAAGAGATTCTTTGTTGTCCGAATCAGCTTCTTTCTGATTTTTCCAACAAACTTCTGAATAGAACTCTACAAAGAAAAAAAAAATCAAATTTGAAAAAGATTACTTTGTTTGCCTGCTCTGTTTTTTTCAGGCATGTCACTCAAATATGGGATGTTTTCCACTTCATTCTTTGTTATAAGCTGTTTATAGTAATTAGAATTTCGGAAAATGTTTACATTTTATTGCAAACCCATCTATTATGACTCTATCTCTCTCTCTCTTCAGGGGTAATTCTAGAGTTGGTGGTCCAGGTTTTGGTCCCCGTTTTCAGGAATCAGTTAGGTCTGTCTGAACATCTGTTTCTCTAACCCTCCTCCTTTTGTTATTCTCCAATTTAAATTTTTACACTTCTGAATTGTTCTGTTACTTGTTGCAGGCCAGCACCTTATCTTAGTGACCCAATCACTGGGCAGAAGCTGCCTAATGTTTCACATCCACCGAGTCTGAAGAGTTTAATATCATCTTCTCAAGTTAGTGTCCACAATTTGAGGAAAAATGCATTGCCAATTTCTTCCTAAGTTTAATTAAAGATTCTTTACGCTTTCATCAAATACACATCCTTCAGAGCTCTATGCAAGTAAATTTCCCCAATTTATTCCAAAGTTTAATTAAAGATTCTTTATGCTTTCGTTAAATGCATGTCCTTCAGAGCTCTATTGTTGTAAATTTCCCTAATATTAACTTCATCCAATCTGTAAACTCATAAAAGGGGTACCTGATTCTTATGTTAATAACCAAAATTTGGTGTGTCCTGCTTTAAAGATATCCTTTATAATATACTTTTATCCAAATGGACCTTCGGTTGTTTTGTTTGTCTGATATCCGTTCATAATCATTAGTACCCTGTAGAAATCGCAGGTCCAGGCCTTCCCACCATGCTTAAGTTGAGATTAACTTCAGAGAATTATCATTCCAAATGATGTGACGACAGCATATTTTAAATTGAATGATTTATTGATGGTCCTTTTGTTTCAGAGAGAGCAAGAGAATCCAGATGAGCTGCGTGATTATGTATGAGGAAGAAAGAAAATTAAAAAACCTGCAGCTATTGGCAAAACTACAATTATTGTTAACCAAGGAAAATAATTTGTGGTAAAACAAGATACATTTGGGCCAGAAAAATCCATACTAAAAAAAAGCTCAAAATATGTTATTTTCGAGTATGATTTTTGTCGATTAAAAAAAAAATCAAATGTATTCAAGTGGTATTTAAGGTTCTATTTGTAAGGAACTGCTTTTAAATTAATAACGTGTTTGTTTATATTGACTAGTCTTTTCTTCTTCTGAAAACCTCAGGATTGCCCAATTCGAGCAACTGCCAGCCCTGCAAGTGATTCTCTTCAGGGAAATGGTTTTCCATCATCTGCGCAACAGGTAAATGTTGTGACAATTTCCTTTCATTGTAAGATTTGTTAGTCCCTTTCAGGATAAGCCAATTTATATTGTCCTTGGACACTAGCCCCCACCTTCCTATAAGCAATAGGAGGTACCTCTTAGTTATCCTGAATCTATCTAATTGTTTATAACTAGTAGGGGTGCACACGGGTTGAATTGGTCCAGTGCCTATGAAACTAGAACCAATCCAATCCAAATGGATTGGTCCCACAAAAAACTGAGCCAATGTGAGCATCAAGACTGAACCAACGCAAATCTAGAAAACTAGAATTGGATTGGATTGGTTTCACGGATTAGGCTTTTCTATTGGGCTTCTTAGAGTACGGTCTCTTCCCCCACCCCCCCCCCCCCCACAAAAAAAAAAAAAAAATCTGATACATGTTCAGTTGACATTCTCTGCCAATTTAAACTTTAAGCATTGTCCCCAACATCCATAACAGTTTCCATGTTCCACAGTAGCATAAAATTCTCCAACATAAATAATAGCATAACGTTATGACATCAAAACTTGTGCAAGTATTTCTAACAGGAGCATACCTGAAACCACAAAGCAATCAAGTGTTCTTGAAACATAATAACACAAATTAATAGCATAATTGAAAATTCTCCAACATCCATAACAATAGCATAAAAATACAAATTAATCCAAGTTCTGGAAATTACAAAGCAAGTGCAATATTCAAACATTAGATAACCACCAAATAGTGTTAAAAAATCCCATGAATAGAACAATAGCTAATAGCTAGACTTCCAAGAATGAACATGAGTGAACAGTTTCAACAGTGAACAAAGATGAACAAGCTTCAAAAACAGTTTCAGCATCTCCACAATTCTATAAATCTTCTCAAAGTTTCACCTGCATAAGTATAAAATTCAATTAAAATCAACAATAAAACAATTACTTACAAATATCATGGTCATCCTTTTATCCCATACGGGTGGGGTCGGCCACATGAATTCTCTTTTTCTATTCTTTCTTATTATACACCATGTCTTCTCTTAAATTTAAGTTTGTAAGTTGTTTTTAATAACTTCATCCCACGTAAGCTTAGGTCGGCCACTTTGTCGCTTATTTTCTAAACAAACAACTCTTCCTCTTTTAATAGATGCATTAATTGCGTCTATGTTGAATATGACCATACCACCTAAGTCTATTTTCCCTAATATTATCATTTATAGGCGCTATACCTATTGTTCACCTCACATGTTCATTATTTATCTCATCTCTTCTATTGATTACTATCATCCAATGTAGCATCCTCATTTCCGCTACAAGAATGCTTGGTATTTTTGTCTTTTTCAACGCCCAACACACTGCTCCATACAATATTGTCAGCCTAATAACCGCCTATAGAATTTTCCTTTTAATTTATTTGGTATTCGTTTGTCACAAAGGATACTATTAGCTTGCCTCCATTTGATTCTGTACAAATATATTGATAAATAATTTGATAATTAGTTATCAGAATCATATTCTTCAAGGTATTCCATCTTTTCTTCTTCAATTGCCAATCTAGTCCACAAACTAAGCATTCCACAAGCTTTGGGGTTTGAGAACTACAGATTTGATCAAGGATACGATCTCCTAAAAGCGGACTCAGAAGCAACAGTAGAAACTGGATTAACTAGAATATTTCATGCTACTTGGGAGAGTATTCAATACTTACCACAATTAAACTTCCATTAATCTAATATTTCAGACTGGATCTTTTTGTTTAACAAGATTCCTCCATATATTTTTTCACTTCTAACTTGTTAGTTGTTGCCTTCACTTTCTTCTTCTTCTTCCAAGTTCCTTTGGAACTTAGACTTAAGATATGCTACTTGCTCACTTACTCATGGATTTAGTTGATCAACCTTCATCTCATTTGCATTTTGACCACTGCCAGCTAGACTTGAAGTTAATAAATCAAGCTTTTGATATTCACGAACATTTAGTTCAATGTATCTCTTACTTTTCTGGTAAGCTCATTAACCATTTGAGATGAATAAACTTTGGAATAACAAAATGTCACATGCTTCAATTTGTAGTGAGGATCAAAAACCACTGCAAACACCGACATCATGTTCACCTTTTCAATGCTTCCCCAATACTTGTCAAATTTAATTTTCATTTTCGCAGCCATGGAACTTAAGCAAGGATATCAACTTTTTGACCATCCATTTAATCAGCTTTCATTGCCCCAAACTGTCTGAAATTATGAATTGACATATAAAGATTCAAATATGCGAATAGTGGCATCATAAAACTTACGCAAAATTTTGATAAAAACTCGAGCATAATCTCTATTACAACTCGGAGGAGGTTCATTATTGAGTTCTACTAAAAAAATGTGTATTATCCTCTTCCAACCTCTCAAAAGCTTTTTGAAACTTAATTACCACCTCTAACATAAGATATGCGGAGTTCATCCTAATTTGATTATCCAGGAAAAAAAAATCTTAGATGTTATTCCCTCATTTTCTGCACATGCCTTAAGACCTCTCTGCCTTATGAATTCAAGTTATTGAATCATGTGTCTCACCCAAACCATCTTTCACAATGAAGTCCGATATTTATGCACAACACCTCATGTGAAAGAATTCACCATCTAAAATGAACATGTTAAGCTTTTTAGAAACCTTCATCTTCAAGAATGCAACTGTAGGATTATTTGAACTAGCATTATCCACCGGGAATGTGCATAAAATTTCTATACCCCAATCAATCAGGCAAGCCTTAGTTGCACGATCAATTTTTTTTTCTCCTGAATGTGGGAAATTTTATTGATACAATATAAACAATAAAGGTACATGATAGACATGGTCTAGGAAGCCACGCGAAGAGAAAACATAATCAGGGGAAGAAAGCAACATTGATCCCCAGTCCAACAAAAACAGATAGAGAAAAGCCTAAAGATGAAAGACTCTCTAGCAAAGCTTCTCTTGCAACCTCTACTGCAGATGATAAACCCCTCCATGAAGAACTTTACTCCTGTTATTCCAGATACAACAAATAATGGCAGTGAAAAAAACAGCTTGCTGCTTTGTTTTTGGTAGTAGAGCTATGACAGAACTGTATAAACCAATCTAGAACATCAGCAAATGAAGATACTTCTTGTAAACTGCTCCAGTTTCACGATCAATTTCCTTCACCTTTGTGATACTCTGGATTACATTTGCAGGAGGTTTTGGAGCTGCTTAAAAACTGAAGTTTACCTGCTATGTTGAGGTCTTTGTTGTGGTCTTGTTAAGGATCCTTGTATTGTATTTTTTATTTGTGTTTATCTTGTGCTTTGTTTTGGTTGGTTTCTCTGTTTTGTTGTCTCAGACTCTGCTATGCTTTTTTTGCGGTGTGACCCTTTGGTTGTAATTTGGTTTTGGCGGTTTAATAAAATTTACTTGGGAAAAAAAAGAAGAAAGAAAAGGAAATTACACAAAAGTTCAAATTACTTTTATGTAATTTTCAGTTCTTATCCATATATGAAATGAGCTGTAGGGCATATATAAGAAAGGATATGTTTGCGAGGTCCATGAATCCGTGGTGAAATAAATTCTTTGATTTAGTTTATTCAATAGGTTTCTATTACACGGACTCTCCTTTTTTCTATTACATAAAATGAAGAAAAAGAATCCAAATCTAATAGCAAACTTGAGTTTCTTATCTATGAGATAGATGAAAACTCTTTTCTTCTACCACATCCTAGTCAGTTCGAGTATAATTGACTATATTCTTACAAAACAACGTTATTAAACTTTAATAAAACATACAATGTATTAGTACATGTACTAGTATCCAACTTTTGGACACATTAACCTTACCCTAAGATTCGGGATTAAAGTAGGTTCAACACATAGACACAGAGTCGCACAAGATATACATACCCAACTCTGGGTAACATAAGGTCTAGTACATCGTGTGATTTGGGTCCTGCTGGGGGGGGGTTTCAGATATATTGTGTGTGTGTGTATATATATATTTAAAAAAGATCATAAAAAATTTCACCAAATAGTATTTAGTTTGCAAAACAAGAATTACAGACCTTGATTATAGAGAAAAAAAAAAAATAATAAAATAAAATAAAATAAAACAAAACCCATACATACAAGTTAGCAGTTGCAGAGAAAGAGAGGGGAGCAAGCTTGAGACAGCGGCTGAAGCTTGCGAACGCGAACCCGAACTGGAACAGCGGAATATGGAAACTGAAAAATATGGGTTTTGATTTTTTGAACAATCTGAAATGATATGGCCGATATGGGTTTTGATATAGCTAATAGGTTTTGGAGTTTTGATTCTTGCAGATAGTAAGATAAAGTTAAATATGTGGGTTTTGAACATCTGATTCTTGTAGATTTTGTAGTTTGCGGTGGCACACCGAGAGGGGCAATTTCAGAGTTGTGAATAGAGATGGAGGCGATTTGTGAGGCTGAAATGATTTGCCCTAAAACTATATATATTTGGGAGGCTAAAATGATTTGCCCTAAATATATATATATATATATATATTTAATATTAATATAATCAAATATATATAATATACATATATATATATATAATATATATATACATTTCCAAAAAAGATAAAAATATTATATAAAAAAAAATTATATAATAATATAATCAAATATATAAATTTATACATATATATATATATATATATATTTTTGGGTCCTTTTTGACCAGATATTTTAGATTTTTGATTCTTTTTAATTAAGTTTAATTTTAGTTTCCTTCTAATGTCTACAACTTGACTTGGAATGTGCCTAATATTAACATTACTGATACAAATATGAATGGTGGGAATGTAGTTGAAAAAGAATAGTGGTTGTGTTAAAAAATAGCATTTTCATCATTGGAGCAGAATTGCAAAAATGTAGCATTTTAACACTGTAGCACTGCCAAAATATAGATTTGGCATCCGAATTTGGCATTTTAGCATTGGAGATGCTTTTATAATGTGTAATTTGACTGGCTCTGTTGATGGGGATGCAATAGCTGTCAAGGAGCAACCACCTATCGAGCCACCTCCTATTCCTCTATGGGGAATGCACCATTTTTCAAATATTTAGCCCTCAACACTAGCCTTCCACAAACAAAAAGGAAAGCGTCGAACCTCAAACTCTCATTTTGAAGTAATGGGGTCCTCAAATACTTGAAACTTAAGGCTATATTGTAAGGGGCCCGGAAATGACTCTAGCTGAGGAAACCCACTCTAATGTTCCTCTTTGGGCCAATCTCTATAATATCCCATTACTTGGTCTAGGATAGAGCGGAATGAAAAAATAGGATTCATTGTAGCCTACTCCAAGTAGTTGCAAAAAATGTTTGTCAAGTTGAGTTGTCCATATATAATTATATATAGGGTTAAATAAATAAATAAAACCTCAACTTTTATGATTTTGCAGATACCTCCCTGGTGATGCAACTAACTCTTTCAACTATATGAAAGTTGTAATCCATTAAAGTGCCATTAATAGACATTTAAATTACCATTTTACTTCTGAAGAAATAAAAAATTAAAAAGAACATTGGTAGTAAAATGACAATAGAACCCTTAATTGTAATGTCCTTTTAGTCTGGTTTCTTCAGTAAGCTTCCCAAACGATGCCCTTTCGTGGAGGTAAAAAAAGAAAGCAAATGGCATTGTCAAAAACCAAATACAAGTGGGTTTCACACTTCATCTCATGATTAGAGTTAAAGTGTAAAACCCAAATACCCATAATTGAAGAAGAAGAAGCTTATGATCTTCGCTATGATCTTGCCACAAGCGAAGAAGCAGCTGGTTGGTCTGGTGTGAAGTTGTTGGTGCATACAAGTTTGATGCTATTAGTGTGGTCTGAAGCTTGCGTGAGGAAACCATGATGTAAGTTTAGGGTTTTTGTTTTACGTTTAGAATTTTTTCAGGGTGTCTCAATTTCTACACTAGTTACTACCTGTATGTTGCAAACATGGACCCAAGCTGCAATTCTGAACCAAGATCTTTTTTTTTTTCCCTAGTTGATACACAACGCGCCCCCCCTCCCTTCCTCTCTCAAGGAATTGTTTGCATCCAAGAGGAGTCGAACCTTAGACCTGATGCTTCATGAGACAGTAGGACCAAGTGACTTGCCCACTTGAGTATCCAAGGTCATTTTGGTCGATAAAGAAGGTATTATAGAGATTTTGGGTCCAAAATCACGTGGCGCGCATAATTGTGATAGCTGAGTTTTTTTTTTTTTTTTGCCAGCCTTTCCCAATTCAGCTGGCACTTGCATTCAGAAGTCATATGGTTTTTGAGTGGAAACTTTTTGTTTTCGAGCTTCATTTCTTGAGAATCTTCATGCAATATGTTTTCTGCTATTCACAACTAAAAATGCTCTATGCTTAGAAGTCCATTACTAGAAACACTTCTGCCAATGGCAGACAAACAACAGCGGGACAACTAATTGAAACCTCGGTGCCATCACAACAAGCAATTTGCTGGAAAAGATGCTCCTTAACCACTAGTTCCTTAGTGTCAGATGTGCTTCTATGTGATTCAATCAATAATTCAAACTTTGTAGCCAGGAGCAAAGCCTCCCCTCATTATACAACAGTGAGTACTTCAACAAGCAGTGTTATTTTGAACTTTGTGGGGGAGGGTGCCTAGGTATCTGCTTCCTAGTTTGAACCAAATAGTAATTAGTGGGTGAATGTTTATAAGCTTGACAAATTCGGAATGATGGTGATATTTCTTGAGCACTCCTGCAGTTTAATGTTTACAAGAATCATGTTGAGCACCTCACATTTGAAGATTGATGTTTGTAGATTGAAGGTAGTTAAAGATTTGATTATCTACTGAATGTTCAATACTACAGCATTTGAGGGTGCCATTAGTGGTTTACTATAACACTTGTTAGTGGTAAAAGCCCGGTATTTATTCCTTACATTATGGCTTATATTCTGCAACTTTTTCAGTTTTGCTATTTAAAGTGTTGTAGCGACTTCAGACTTCCTGACTGTTTCCAACATGTGTTCATGCAGTTTTCACAGGCTGGAAGCAAGCTTCAGACAGTTTCTGGCACTTCTACTGTTTCAGAACTTCTTGTGCCTTCAACAATTTCTTCTGCTCCTGCATTGCCTATAAGCACCCAGACAGCAGCAGATCCTTTAGATTGTGATTGGAGTGAACATATCTGTCCTGATGGATACAATTACTACTATAATTGTGTTACTTGCGAGAGTAGTGTAAGCGATAAAAATTTAATGCAATTTTTCTTTCCCTCTTTTTTGGATATTGATACGTCTTAAAAATAGTCTAAATGTCTGAAATTTTGACATGTAGTGGGAGAAACCTGAGGAGTATACCTTTTATGAACAGCAACTAGAAAAGCAGCAACAGCGTCAACTTACTTCTCGTCAACAGCTTCATTCTCTGTCAAATATGCAGGTCTGTTCTGGCATACAATCGGGTGATGGCTGTGCTGATACTGAAATGCAACAAATCTAATCGGTTTGTAGTATATTCATTAGTGCTATTTTTATTTTGAAGCTCAAATATTATATTTTAAGATTATAATAACAAAAATTGTTATAAAATAAGTTGCTTATAAATGAATGTAAGCAATCAACAATTAGAATAACTAAGTATGTAAATAAACAACTAATATACAAAGAACTACTCATACAAATTGGATCACTGACTTAAGATAAATAAATCCAAGGGAAAACAACAATAATAAAATACATATTAGAAACAACTGGCCATGTGTGTGGCAGCATCTCGAACCATCATCTTGTGAATACAAGTCGCACTAAATTACTCTCAAAACCCTTCTGATCTTTTGACAGAGATTGGGCTATCACTGCCATAGATTTTGACAGAGTCTTCCACTTCTCAGATGGTGGTAATTGGAATTTTCACAAAGCTGTGAGACGAGGTTCCATTCTACATCCCATATTGCTTCACATAGACCTGCACAGTGCCCCTTCTCTTTGAGTACACTTTTCACAATCCATCTCCTTACAAAATAGAAGACACTTATAAGTTTGCCTGAGATTGGCTTCAAAATAGTAAAAAGAAGAGAGTAAAACATAGTGTTATCTCTAAACTTAAAAAATAAAAACTTGTATCAAGAAATGCCAAGCCCTTTTCTTTTTCTTTTTTTGGAAGGGGGGGGGGGGGGGGGGGGGGGGGGGGGTGGGGGTGTTTGTGCAATGAATGCGATGAGAGCAAAGAATGATATGGAATCGTTTGAAATATGCATGTGTAACAGTGCAAGCATATAAATTAAATTGTGTTTCATGGAGTACGTATATTTTAGCATATTGTATAAATGTGTGATAACAAAAATAGGTCTACTTGCTTAAGTAATACTTAAGATGGGATTATGTGGGCGTATGTGATAACAAAAATAGGTCTAGTGTCAACTTATTGTTGATTTGCCGAGAGAAACAAAAAATCAAAGAAAAGAGTTTAGTTATTAATAGGATTGGATTTCTTAACCAACAGGCCAGTGGCCCAATGGTACCAAGCCCCTACTTCTCATAGGGTTAGGGATTCAAGCCTAGTGGAGGTTTGGGTGTGTGAGTACCAACTAAGGAAAAAAAAAAAAAAAAGATTGGATTTCTTACCTTGTACATTTATGCCTATTTTATCATTGTTTCTAAGGAAAAATTAGACCAATTTTCAGAAGCTAAATTTCTTCTTTTGGTTATTCCTACCTAATAAGCTAGGAAAATGCACCTTTGTCTTTCTTTCTTATAAGAGTGCATATCGGCGCATACCAATCCTTGCACCAAATTCTATGTTGCTCTTGTATGAGTCAGGTTTTCTTATTGTTTGGTCTAGTCCCGATTCCAAAAACCTGGAACCGTAATTTCGGTTCTGGTTTGGGGTACTTTAGAATCGGACTGAACCATTATAAACTTATATATATTTATATATAATGTTACGACAAAAGCTGACAACCAATAACAAACCTCGAATCACAACTGAAAAGTACACACCACACAAAGATTTATGTGGTTCGGCACAAGTTATACCTACATCCACAGTAAAGATTCGGTCAAAGATTTCACTATGCAAAAGTCAGGAGATTAGAAGTTTCAGCCCCCAAACTCTCACACTCGCTCTCACTCTCATTCCTTTGATTTTTAGTGTTATCTCATTATTCCACTCCGAACCCTAAACGCCCTTATATACTTAGCTACAAGAGATCACTAAACAGGGTCCACAACCTGCAACTGGAAAAATGGGTCAAAACAAAATTCGTTCGAAGCGGGATTGCAACGCGACCCAAGCCGAAACAAAATATAATATATGTATACTTTCCAAATCCTAACTTTGTTCACATTTCACACACGTTGTTGCCCTCCTCTTCTTCCTCCTCCTCCTTTCTCTCTCTCTCTCTCTCTCTCACTCACTCACGACAGAAATTTCAGTCCTCCATTAGGAACCCTCATCTACACCAACGTGCCGGCCGACTATATGTATGTATATATATGATCTGATTTGTCGTTGATTTTGACGACGACTTCTGTGTGGTCGCCAAAGTCAACGGACTGGGTCATGTGATTTTGGTTTTGTGCAAAAGAAGTTGGTGATCTGTAGCCTTTTTTGAGCTTTGTTCGGATTGTGATTTCCTGAGTAGGGCTGTAATCGAGCCGAGCCGAGTAATGGGCTGTTAGAGCTCAGCTTGATTATACATCAAGGTGTTTGAGCTCAGCTAAAAAATGTTCAGAACAAGTTCGAGCCAAGCAAAGCTCATTAACGATGAGGCGCAAAACATACTTATCATATATATATGGTAAAGTGCAAAAATAAATCCTAGAACTATGCCCCATTTAGCAAATAACCCCCTCTGAACTACAAAAGTGGCCAAAAACCCCTTGAACTAATCATTTTGGTTGCAAATTGCCGAGTCCAGCCATTGGCCGATTGAATGCTAGTCATGTGACAACCTAATTTTAATTAAATGACCATACAACCCTTGAGAGCAAAAGACCATTGTGCCTTTTTTATTTCTGTAGACCCAAACCCAACCAAATGTTGCCCTATTTCTCTTTCCTAAAACTCCCTTTTAGACCGTCTTGCTCGATCTCTCGATTGAACCTACAGGATTCTCTATCTTTTTTATGAATGACGTGCGACTGTCTCTTTGTGTATACACACACACATATATATACCATATATACCCGGTTCTCTCTCTCTATCTATTTGGAGATTTGGTTGTTTATGAGACCATGCATGAGGGATGAGGTTGAAGATAAAAGTGGGAATTACGCCGAAGATTTGATTGTCGTCAAAGTTGAGTACAGTGAGTTGAGTCAGTTTGCTGATGTCGGAGGGAATTGCATCAGTCAATCAGTTTCCGAAAAGGTCAATAATTCTAAGATTAGCAAGGGAGGTTATGCACGCTGGAATTTGGCCGAAGATCGCTTTCCAGTCGATTCTGGCATGTTCCCTCTCCAATCATTCCACCTCGTTGCCGTGTTTCCACCAAATTTAATGACGGCTATGGTCGTAAGCAAACTGAATGATATTTTCCATATGCACAAACTGAGATATCATGATATAAACCTTAATTAAATCATTGACGAGTGAACCTCTGGACTTTGTTGTTGTCGCTGCTGCTTGTTCATTCCCAACGGGAATGTTTTATCCGGAACAGAGTTCCATACATACGTCTATATATAATTTTATGGTATATACTATATATAGGGATGACAAAGTTTGACACTAGAACAGGTGGGGGTGTTTGTGCAATGAATGCGATGAGAGCAAAGAATGATATGGAATCGTTTGAAATATGCATGTGTAACAGTGCAAGCATATAAATTAAATTGTGTTTCATGGAGTACGTATATTTTAGCATATTGTATAAATGTGTGATAACAAAAATAGGTCTACTTGCTTAAGTAATACTTAAGATGGGATTATGTGGGCGTATGTGATAACAAAAATAGGTCTAGTGTCAACTTATTGTTGATTTGCCGAGAGAAACAAAAAATCAAAGAAAAGAGTTTAGTTATTAATAGGATTGGATTTCTTAACCAACAGGCCAGTGGCCCAATGGTACCAAGCCCCTACTTCTCATAGGGTTAGGGATTCAAGCCTAGTGGAGGTTTGGGTGTGTGAGTACCAACTAAGGAAAAAAAAAAAAAAAAGATTGGATTTCTTACCTTGTACATTTATGCCTATTTTATCATTGTTTCTAAGGAAAAATTAGACCAATTTTCAGAAGCTAAATTTCTTCTTTTGGTTATTCCTACCTAATAAGCTAGGAAAATGCACCTTTGTCTTTCTTTCTTATAAGAGTGCATATCGGCGCATACCAATCCTTGCACCAAATTCTATGTTGCTCTTGTATGAGTCAGGTTTTCTTATTGTTTGGTCTAGTCCCGATTCCAAAAACCTGGAACCGTAATTTCGGTTCTGGTTTGGGGTACTTTAGAATCGGACTGAACCATTATAAACTTATATATATTTATATATAATGTTACGACAAAAGCTGACAACCAATAACAAACCTCGAATCACAACTGAAAAGTACACACCACACAAAGATTTATGTGGTTCGGCACAAGTTATACCTACATCCACAGTAAAGATTCGGTCAAAGATTTCACTATGCAAAAGTCAGGAGATTAGAAGTTTCAGCCCCCAAACTCTCACACTCGCTCTCACTCTCATTCCTTTGATTTTTAGTGTTATCTCATTATTCCACTCCGAACCCTAAACGCCCTTATATACTTAGCTACAAGAGATCACTAAACAGGGTCCACAACCTGCAACTGGAAAAATGGGTCAAAACAAAATTCGTTCGAAGCGGGATTGCAACGCGACCCAAGCCGAAACAAAATATAATATATGTATACTTTCCAAATCCTAACTTTGTTCACATTTCACACACGTTGTTGCCCTCCTCTTCTTCCTCCTCCTCCTTTCTCTCTCTCTCTCTCTCTCTCACTCACTCACGACAGAAATTTCAGTCCTCCATTAGGAACCCTCATCTACACCAACGTGCCGGCCGACTATATGTATGTATATATATGATCTGATTTGTCGTTGATTTTGACGACGACTTCTGTGTGGTCGCCAAAGTCAACGGACTGGGTCATGTGATTTTGGTTTTGTGCAAAAGAAGTTGGTGATCTGTAGCCTTTTTTGAGCTTTGTTCGGATTGTGATTTCCTGAGTAGGGCTGTAATCGAGCCGAGCCGAGTAATGGGCTGTTAGAGCTCAGCTTGATTATACATCAAGGTGTTTGAGCTCAGCTAAAAAATGTTCAGAACAAGTTCGAGCCAAGCAAAGCTCATTAACGATGAGGCGCAAAACATACTTATCATATATATATGGTAAAGTGCAAAAATAAATCCTAGAACTATGCCCCATTTAGCAAATAACCCCCTCTGAACTACAAAAGTGGCCAAAAACCCCTTGAACTAATCATTTTGGTTGCAAATTGCCGAGTCCAGCCATTGGCCGATTGAATGCTAGTCATGTGACAACCTAATTTTAATTAAATGACCATACAACCCTTGAGAGCAAAAGACCATTGTGCCTTTTTTATTTCTGTAGACCCAAACCCAACCAAATGTTGCCCTATTTCTCTTTCCTAAAACTCCCTTTTAGACCGTCTTGCTCGATCTCTCGATTGAACCTACAGGATTCTCTATCTTTTTTATGAATGACGTGCGACTGTCTCTTTGTGTATACACACACACATATATATACCATATATACCCGGTTCTCTCTCTCTATCTATTTGGAGATTTGGTTGTTTATGAGACCATGCATGAGGGATGAGGTTGAAGATAAAAGTGGGAATTACGCCGAAGATTTGATTGTCGTCAAAGTTGAGTACAGTGAGTTGAGTCAGTTTGCTGATGTCGGAGGGAATTGCATCAGTCAATCAGTTTCCGAAAAGGTCAATAATTCTAAGATTAGCAAGGGAGGTTATGCACGCTGGAATTTGGCCGAAGATCGCTTTCCAGTCGATTCTGGCATGTTCCCTCTCC